ATCTGACATGATCGTTCTGAGTCCCTTGGGCAAAACGTTTTCTCCTTTGGACACATCCTTGGAGTTTTGTTGCAACCTCCCGTGACGCTTGTACTCTGTTTGACTGGGAGGAACCTTTCTGGGCTGGAGTGACTGTCAATCTAACCAATCATTCCTTCCCGCCTCTAAATCCAGGGAGCCCCGCCCCTCTGCTGAGAGTTCGCTTTCCCTCTCTTTCCCTCTGCTGAAGTCAGTAATTCCTTGGTCCGTTCGTTCGTTGGCTGCGATCTGTTCACATCTGTAAGCAATGAGACATTTTTCTCAATTTTTTCTACTATAAATGTCTCAGGGTTATCGGCACCGTTAAGTGCCAATTAATCAGAAAAGGGTGAACAATCTGAGAAATGTGAAGCTACTGTCCTCTGTGAGTCTCTGTCCTTCTGCTGCGTACCAAAAGGAGAATTTTAACCAGAAATTCAAAACTGTGCAATGAACTTTCCTGACATAAATTGAAAGGACACATCCAAGGGAAAACATCTTCCTAACAGGGCAGACATAAGAATTTTAGAAAACACTGCTGATCAAAGGCTTTGCTATTTCTGTCATGCCAAAATGGCCAAACACTCATGGAAATCCATAGAGGAATGGTTAAGAACAAGAATAGGAATAGAGAGGATTTGGCTTTTATAGGGTTATCATCCTTTTCCTAAGCAGTTCAAGGTAGAAGACATCACTAGTAGGTGTGATTTTTAGTAATTAAAAACTTCCTCCTTCTGCCCCATGGCTCTCTCGTTGTGTGGAAGCCACAGGACAGAAGGAAGAAGTCCAATTACCAAAAAAAAAAATCTCCCCCTGCTTGTGGCGATATTCAGTGATTAAAGACTTCCTCCTTTCGTCCCACGGCTCCCACAGCTTCCATGCAATGAAAAGGATTCCACAGGCCCGAAAAGCTGAGGAACAGAGAGAGGAAGTTTTCAATCACTGAAAATTGTCCCCTGCATTTGACTTTGTCATTTTTTTTCCAAATGTTCAAGTAATACAAGAAGATCTCAGCCAATGAATAATAAGAAATGCATACAAGGCAGCAAGAGTTTCTGGAGCTGAAGGCAGAGTCTTGGTGATGCCAGAGCCTTTCACTTTCAGGAGCAGGAAAGTGAGATGCTTAGATGGCTCTGTGCATCCTATTTTTTTATACTGCAGAACTGCTGCAGGGCAAGTGAGAGAGACAGAGGGAGAAAGAGAGAGCATAAGAGAGATAGAGGAAGTGGGGGTGGGAGATACACAGAGCCTTCTTGCCGAGGGCTATTTCTTGGACAAGTGGAGCAAGATCAGAAGCACACAAGGGAGTTTGCTGAGAAGTCAAGTATGGGATCCCAGCAGAACAAAAGCAGCGTGCAGCTGGAAGGTCAGAGGTCGGCACATTACAAACATCAGTTTCCCCCAAATTCCCAGAAAACTTCACTACAGAAGCCCGTCACCTCTGACTCCTCATGCCGGAATACCAATAAAGCAACTGCCAATGAGAGAGAGACAGAAATAAAGAAACAGAAGCCAAAGAAAGGACTTCTTATGTTCTGTTCCAGCCCACGTTAATGTACCAAAACAAATTGGGATAATTACTCCCCATTCCAAAGCCGAAACAGCCAAAGGAGGAAGACGTGGCTGTCAATTAAAGTGGCCCTCTACAGCCTGTTCGGCCTCCCAAAAAGGACGCAAGAAGTCTGTGGTTGAGAACACCCCATTTAATGTAATTAGAGCCAACGTCTCCTCCCTCCAAGCAATTCTGGAGCTTGTGGGGTGGGTTCGCGCCCATCTCTACTCTTCACCACCGCACAGCTTCTGGCCGGGCTCTGATAGGCTTTAACAGCTTAGCGTACTGAAGTGTGAATCTCAGAACGTATAAAACTGTTTACGGAAACTGCCGTTCCGTCCCTCTCCCTCCCTTCCTTTTAACTACAAAGGTCTGGGCTCTGGTTCAACAGGGGAGCCGTCCTTCTCCAGGTGTACTCAAGCAAAACTCACCGGGAGACGGACGACACCCTGGGAAGCACTTCATCTGTCTCACTCGCTGATCTACAGGCAGGCAGGGAAAGATGGAAAGGTCACTGCGGGAGGATTTTAATCCAGACCAACTTGGGTCATTGATGGATGGTCCAGACCACGCAAGCTGTCCCTCGTGGACTCGTAGAATGAGGCAGGCAGCCCGTGGCAAAGAAAGGCTTTTGCACAGAAACGACACCACCACCCACCCCCGAACAAACACACATCGCGTACAACAATGGTTGCAAACGAAGCACAGACAGTGGCTGGTGCATGGGGCCAAAAAGGAGCTTTTCCAGAAGGAGCGAATACTTCACCAAATGGGGGCTGAAGCTTCCTGGACACCCCCTTCCTCCAGGGCAGGAACAAAGCCTGCAGATGATAGATAGATAGATAGATAGATAGATAGATAGATAGATAGATAGATAGATAGATAGATAGATAGATAGATAGATAGATAGATAGATAGATAGATAGATAGATAGATAGATAGATAGATAGAAAGGGGCATCCATGACTTCTATTTGCAAGGTGTGGCTTTCCCTGAGATGCAAGATTCTCAGGGAGGCCATGGAAATTTCATGTAATGTAATGTCATGCTATGCTATGCTATGATTTATATTTATATTTACATTTATATTTTTATTTATTTCTATTATTTCTATTATTTCTATTATTTCTATTATTTCTATTATTTATTTATTTATTTATTTATTTATTTATTTATTTAT